AGCCTTGTACCTTCCACCAGCAAATCTGAATCCCTAATTGAATGAATTCAATGAATCACCTTTCAAGGGGTGCGTTGCTTTTTCGGTTCCAGGCTATCGGTAACATTTGCATGACTTTAGGAATACAATAGCATTTCTTCGATTGGTAATCGCTCACATAGTTTCTTACATGATTTGTGCTGGTCACCACCAACCACATGATTGAGCGGTGTTTAATACGTAGTTATTTTGTAATTCTATTTTGTTTGCTTGCCGATGATAGGTCGGTACTACAAAACAATCTAGATAAATTAGCTGAATGGCCTAACCTCTGGTGTCGGGAAATTAATTCCAAGAAAAGCGCCTTAATGCACCTAGTTCAGACTTCGTATACGTCGTACTCCTAGTGGGATACAGAACTGCCAGATGTTAAGGGACAAACGGACTTATGATTTATTGTAGGCCATGACTTTAAAACAACGGTAAGTTGTATTGGAGTCGTTGCCAAGGCTTTTCGAATCCTATGGGCACTTCGAATGACTTTCAAACGATTAAACGAGGGTATGTTCCAAGTACTCTATGCAACATATGTTCTAGATGACATATATATGTCAGACCTCATCTAGAATACTGCATACAGGCGGTGAGTTCATGCTTAAAATGGAGGCATATATCCTGGGAAGAGTACAGAGGGTAGGAACCAAATTAGTTGGTGCTATCTCACACATTCCTTATGATAAGAGGATGGAGCAATTATATTTTCCCATCATCATGCCGAAGGTGGAGAGGCGACTTAATTATAGCTTACCGTATGTTAAAGGGTGATTTAGGGATTGACCTATCAAACTTTTTCTTCCTCTAGGATACATTTACGAAAGTGCTCAAACCGAGGTAGAATAAAATAAGTGGAATTTAGATTCTCTCACAGAGTGGTCATCGACTGGAACTCCTTACTTGATACAATAGTAATAGCCCCATCGGTGAACTCTTTCGAAGATAAACTAGATCTCTGCATATATATCGCAAGGATTAGCATAGGCAACAAGAGCCTTCTATCCTTATAATCGGAATCTGCCTTAGTCCTCCAATGGTTCACAACAGAACTATTTAAATTATTGACTTCTGTTCACCCGTGTTGAGATATCTTACACTAGAGTTAATGAAAATGTGCCTTCTCGGGGAGTGATACTTGGTCCTTCAAAAAAATACATTTCAAAGTTGTTCGCACCTCTGTAGAAAAATAGGGAATTTTTCGCATACTGTCGTAACCAGTGCTTCAACCGACGTACTTGAGCATCGCAGCATCGCCTCCCATAAAATCACTCGTCTTCCTACTTTTGCTGAGAATTGGTATTTAAAACGATGCTAAACTGCAAATCTTCATATTTTTAAATCCAGAATCTTCTAAGCAGTGTGGTGGTGAATTATTTGCCAGATTAACTAGATTGTTAATTAGGGTGGGGGATTCAGATCTTATGGCATACCGACTTGTAAGAAGGCAAACTCTTGTGTGGTGTCTTCAGAATGGTTCAGGATAATGACATACCATGTATTGTAATAATATTCGTAGTCACTGGAGGATCAAGTGGGGTTTAAAGTCGAGAAAACAAAGCAGGTCTTAGGCTTAATTAATGTGTTGACGAAATCACGACTTGACAGGTTCAAAATACACCTTGCATCCGGCACGTGTTATTTATTGACCTGGAGAAGACATTAAACTGCCTCGACTGAGAGGTATTTAGCATTAGTTTTTTGTGAAGGGAGTGCTGAGCAAGGGTATTATGTCGACCAAAACATACTAGTGGACGTTATTCTGCTTTTGTTCTTCTAAACTTGATAAGTTACCAGTTAAAGATCTCGTTAGTGTAGAGTATGAAAACCCTGCTGTCTATTTGTACAAAGACACTGGCACTATACAGTCTTAGTGTGCTTGGGATGCGGTTTGCCCGCCGTGAAATGTAATATGATATAGGGTGAATCCGCACCAACCTTTGTTTAAGAACAGAGGTTGAAAAGTTTGAATTTTTCGGTCACTACACTTATTCAGGCAGTATGGTCTATCTTAATGGATTGTTAATAAATTCATAACACGGATACGAAAGGTTCGGTGACATCAATGACACTGAAGAAGTATCTGACTGCCTGTTATGAGACTCGTTAACCGAGCAACAGTCCCTTGCATCCTACTATGCAGCTGTAAAGTGTGACCGCTAAAAGAGGAATATATGATGAAAATTGGGGTCTTGTAATTCTCTCATAGTAAAAGAAGCAATATAGTTACTAGCGTGTTAAATAAGAAATGTAAGTCGATCGACGAGGCTTATATTATATATATATATATATATATATATTACCTGGAAGACATGTTACCCTTAGCAATCCAATCTTTCCCGCATAGCAGTCATAGATAAAGGATTAGGTCACAAAAGAGCAAGATGTACCCACATTGAAATGACTAAACTCATAAAATCAATGACTACTAATCTAAGTCATGTTGGAATATGTAGATTTTCTAGCTGGTGTCCTGGGGATGTTATCAATTAAGGATTTCTCGTAAGATGATTCACAAGCATTTACGATGGTGCAGATGTATTTACTCCGTCACAATACAGGATTTAGAAAGCTCAACTAATTTTAATTTAAAAACTTGCTGTGTTTCATCCATATTTAGGGACATAAACTGGTGCACATCTGTGCTGAGTTCTACGCTGATTCAGTAAACTATTGTGTTGTGTCAGCTTAAGAACAGAGTTCGCAAACTGTGACAGAATGTTATTTCACGGTAATTCATTTCGACAAGTTTCAGATATAATGAATGGAACGGTGTTCTTTACTAGGTAGTGTTCTGGATGCTGTTTGATTTTTATGGGTATATGTAGATCTTATCGGCTACATCACTTTTATTTATCGAGTGCTGAGTCATACGGTTTTAGAAAGGTTTTCTATTTAAGTAGACGTCTTCATAATAAAAAGTTAATTTAATTGGGCTTGCTTTATTCCTTTTAAAAATTCTGAAAGTGTGGTCTGAATTCACAAATATTTGTTCCTGAACTCATTTTTCCTAACTTTCGTAAAAATGAAGTACCTCTATAAAATCAAATTTGATATCCATAATGTCTGGAGATACGGATAAAAACTTCGTGCAACCAGTATTCCTTGATTCAAGATACATAGGTCAAATTTGTATTTACGAATAATCTCTGGTCAGTAAATTGTAACGTTATCAGACCTGATTTAAAGTCATTATCATTAATGTCTTATTTTCTTACATTTTTGGTCTCACGTTCTAGTCGTCGTTGTATTTATTATTTTTCTCTCATCCTACTGGGAAACATAATTTGAAGTCCAGCAAATTGAAACAATATTCATTTACACCAATTTCATGTTAGTCGTCGAGGCCCGTTCCTTTTGCAAATTTCATTCTTACATTTTCAGTTAATCTTCCTGTGATTTTACGAAGTGAACTATCAGTACTGCCATTTTTAATGCAAATATAACATCTGCTAATGCATCTAATTACTAGGCTAGGTAGCGCATACTTTAGCTGTCAAGTGAACAGAAACTTTCATATTTTTTGCGTTAGTAAGTGTCCATCCCTTCTGACAGTCGACTTGTAGGGATTACCTGAACTGATCTTAAGTTATCACACTCACTTTTTTTTACGGACAGCAAGTTGAGAGATAGGAAACATTGAATAGTGAGATATTTTGTAGGAATGGTAGTAGTTGAGGTACACACAACTAATTGTCCTAGCTATAAAACCTTTCAACAACTGTGAAGAGTTGTACTTGTTTGTATTCAGTACTCGTTATTTACTGTAATAAACTCTGTGGTTTATGGCATCTCAGATTATTGTAATTTAAATTCAAATGTCGGGTTTTCAATTTTACAGGTTTCTGTAATTATCCTTCATAAGATGACTACAACGTTGGCAAATGAACGTTTACGTTATAAACTTCATTCTATCAATTATCCAGCCTATGATGCTTTCGATATTTCAGGTATATACTGTTGAATTTAATTATCTAATTAAGTTGCTTAAGATATAGCAAATGTGCGAAACGTAGTTGTTTGGCTCGAAGATAGACTAATTAGAGCTCTCCCTGCGGATAAAAGACTACGTGATATACAGTCCCCAGAATGGATAAATTATCTTAATAAGGTTTGTCTGTATATCTTATTTTTTTTAAACAGAATTTCTTAGTATCTCCAGACTATAAAATGCCCTTTTAATGAATCAAGCTCTTGGGCTATGTTGGATTGGCTGCTCAGCAAGGCGTTGTTTTTAGAATCTAACTCACGTAACTTAATTTTTGCATTATTCTCTATATTTTATACAGCTAAAAGTACTGTACAGAACAATACACCTGAGAATGCTAACACAACAGTTTCTACTAATGCTTTTAGTAGCATAGATGGTACTACTATTTCGCATTACGTTTTATGTTAAATTCTACTAGTTAACAGTAATGAATTCAAGGAAAATGTCCTGAAAGCAGCCAAGTTATTACAGATTCCATTACACTCAGACATTAAAACATTATTCAAGGTAGGTATGCAAAACGTAGACTAATTATTTACTAACATTCTAATTAATTAAGGCTGTTTGTCTAGTTATCGAACAGAAACTTGAGGTGAATACATTAAATAATGCTATCAAAGATTACGGTACATGCAAGGTAAGTTTTTTAGCCTTTTTTAAAATGCTTTGATGGTGATTATATTAAATTGATTAGAAAAACTGATTGTATGTCTTTCGTTCAACATCATTAACAAATTTACAGGAGAATTAAGGAAACAGATCTTGTCGTAGTCGAAACTTCAGTCTGTATGCAGGAGGTTTTTTTCATTTCCAAGCTATGCCATGTACACTGAGTTTTCAACACGGGACTTTGTGCAGAAGTCCAACACATGAAACTGCCGCAGCATATAGCACAAAACAGTAGCGAGAAATCAAAAATCCAATGGAACTATAATGATTGGATGTGTTAGGGAGGATGAATAATTACATGGAGAATTTGATGGATCGATGAATTCATAGAGGATGAATACATTTACTCCATTGAGAACGATTTCTAGCCAATCACCAATAGTCTTCAGCCATTGGTTCTTAGTATCCCGAGGACCTCAACCAGACAGCCTACACCTCTGTAAGTGGCTCAAACCAACTGTCAAAGACTTCATGAATTGATACCTGGTTTTGACTTGACTACTCCCAACTCCAACTTAATTGTATGTCAGCTAGCCTTGCTCGACGCGGAAGGCGATGACTTACCATGCATAACATGTGTCATAGACATCTCAGCCGATGTAGCTTAACAACGCCCTCCATTGACTTGACCTTTTTACCTAATACTTTACACTCAATCTCAATAGTACTCACCATACTATATCGCTTAACACGGAAAATAGGACGTAAAAACTTATTACCGAAGACAACTAGCCTCTCCAAGTTTTCCACTTATAACGATCACCTCTCTTAATGAACTGAGGCGCAGTACACACGCTCTTTTACAGATAGATGAATATCACGTCTACGCCAGAGATGACATAGGCTGATAAGTACCACCACACGAGCATTTTGTATCCGTGCTATGACTTCGCCAGCAATCAGTCCGTTAGGGCTACTGAGAGTTCTCGAATAAGGCAAGTGATCAAAACGCCCGACCACTTCAATCCCTATCTTCGAACTAGGAGTCGGTGCAAACCAGTCCTACGGTATCATCTTACTTGCATTTGACAGAAGCAAATTGCATGCCGGAAATACCAAGATTTCTGCCCAAGGTAGGTGTTCAGGAGGCTGCATTTTCTCAGTGTCCTCACCTAGGAAGACTATAACATCTGCATATTCTAAATCGACGAAACTGTTCCCTTTTGAAAAGTCATTTCCTGAGTCCATTAGGGTTACACCCACTAAGTACACCTATGGTAAAATTAAATGAATGGAGACACTAGACACCCCTAACTGTCGTCACTTCAGATGACAACTCTCCATATGCTGTTTTACGGTTGAGTAAGTTTGAGTAGAGTGGCTCGATTAGTGTGATATACTTTCTCAGCACTCCCTTCATCGCCACAGTACCTCTTGGTCGACGAAGTCAAATGGCACTTTCAGACTAAGAAATTTGACAAGTATTAGATGCTGGTAAGTATGACTGTGTCTGTCGAAAGGTGAAGACATAATCAATACACTTTCTTCCTGACCTAACACGGGTTTAATTCTCTTGAGATCCGTTCGGTCTACACACAGTTATTGAACCTAAAACTTTAGGTGCAGTATTAGTCACGTCAATCACCAATAATTATCAAAGGAGGACTTGTCTCCCTTCTTATAAACTGGAATAATCAATGATTTACACCCATCCAACGTGAATGTCTCTGATTTGCAGACATTACCTTATATCTTAGTTAACCTAGACAACAGTTCATCACTACCATCTCTAAACACATAGAGTCATACTATCAAGTTTCACCGCGTTATCGTGTTTCAAATTAGAGACAGCTCTTGCAAACCGATGTCTACACTTCATTCAAGTAGGTGTTGGGAACTGGACAAATTCAGCTTGGCTGTTGGCCACCTGAATTGCTCCTTAAAGTGTCCCCTCCAACGTTCTAGTTGTCTCCCCTAAGAGATAATCAAAGCATCGTTCTTTTCGGTAGGCGTCTTGCATGGTATTGTTATTATACAACCTGTTTAGTGCGTTTAAATAGCTATCTGGTGTTACCTACCGCAAATTCACACTGCTAGAAAAATGTGACTGTCTGAAAAAGGAAGACGTGATACTCCGTGGTTGGTTCAGTTTCAGTCTACAACTGTTGAACATATTTTTTCAAAGTAGTCAAAACGATTTAGAGGTTTTAGACGCAGAGAATAAAAGAAAATTCAGCGACATAATGGAAATTCATTCTTTTTTGTCTTTGTAGATAGATATGCTGAAGCTGGACGATGTGTGTCTTGGATTCGATGTCAGCGATCCAAATGTAAAAGCTGCAGCAATTGCTCTAAGACTTTTAAATATCGACAGACTACGTAAATTACAAGATCAGGCTAATGCAGGTATAGTACAAGTCCAAAGACTCACAGCAGACCCTAAAACTGACGAGAAACTTGGCAAAGTTGGTTTTTAATTTTTAAACAATATTTGCTAGTTGAATACATACATTTCTTTATGTGTATTACAGTTTTCTTCACTTTCGAAAATGTAACCATACCTCAAGGATAAAGATGCGCACCATTTCTTATGCATATATGTATATATATATCACCACACTTCCAAATCAGTGAGATCTCATACTTAGGTTGTACTTAATTGCATGTTCCTTTCAATGAAAGAATAACTATAAAAAACGTTGACCTGGCATTTCAAGACAGTGTCTTTTTTTCTGAATGTGCAAAGTTGCGTGTTATACACAATACACAGTCTTGTCTTAATAATGGGAGGACATATAGATTAGCTCTATGAGATGACGTTACTGAAAAGTCTGAGGCAATATTAGATAACGATGGAAATCAAAAACAACAATGACCACATCAGGATTCTTTTTGTTCTTATTCTGTTGTTCCTTCCTAAAAAGTTAGATGATTGATGACCGACAAAATTATTCAGTCACAAGTAACAGTGTACTACTTATGGAAACCAAGAAATCTATAAGCTGAAATGATGCCGACCAGTTTGGCTGAGATATACTAACAGAAAGCCACAAACGAATAATATCAGTTATTGAAAATCTATTCGTGATGCACAAAGATAAGCTGAAGTATGAGGATAAATCCAAAAGTCAGTTTCATGGAAAATTGAAAAATTATTAAGAATGTAGGATATTACTTAGTAATCCATTCACCAACGGACGAGGATGTCAAATCGAGAATCGGGAAGGCGAGAAACACATTCATCAACCTGAAACCAATCTGGAAATCTTCGTCACTCAGCCTGCATCAACAACAAAATTCGGATTTTCAATACAGACGTCAAGTCATTTCTTCTATACGGATCAGAAACTTGGTGAGTCACAAAGAATATTTCCAACAGGTTGCAGACCTTTATCAACAACTGTCTTCGCTCTATACTGAAGATCAGATGGCCGGAAAGAATCTCCGACAAGAAACTATGGGAACAAACAAAACAAGAACCAATCGCCCAACAAATATGCAGGAGAAAGTGGAGATGGATTGGACACTCGCTGAGGAGGCCGTTGGGTGGCATCGCGCGTCAGGCCATGGCTCGAGTGGAACCCGAAAGGGAAGCGGCGAGTGGGACGTCCAAGGGTGACATGGAGGAGATCGTGTGAAGAGGAGTTGAAACAGTATGGACTAACATGGATGCAGGTGAAAAGTACAGCAGAAGACAGAAACAAGTGGAGACGTGCAGTTGAAGCCCTATGTTCCACTAGGAACCCAAGGGAACAATAATAATAATCATATAATCCATTCACCATATACTTCATCGTGTATGAGAAGTGTTATAATATATCAAGCACAATCTGCCAAATAGATTAATTGAGGTGTTTTTAATTGCTAGACTGGTTTGAATGCTTCCATACTCAGAGTTCATTTTGTGATTCAACATCAAAAAACGCCTCCGTAAGTAAATTAAAACTCCTTAAGATATACGCGAAAGTAAGAAATTCGATATTGCGTGGTGCTGCTTTTGAAGGATTTCACAGTTAATGAAATACAGATTTCTAGTGCCCAATTCATCACAAACTTTATAGGTTGCCCGTTTTATTGTCGTGTGACCGCTACTGTATCTTTTGTACTTTTTCATTTTGCATTATAAACGGCAAGAGTTCTTACTTTTGCTGATGTCCATTGTATTACAACATCTCAATAAATAATTGGGTCTGTTCCCCACCAGTCTGGTTCTCTTCGTATATAATATAAAACGCAATGGTGAAGACATTTCAATAACAAACGAAACTTTGAGTAATCTATAAATAATTCAACTCATATTATTATTATTAGCTAAAGTTACAGGGAATCATTTGCTGGAATAGTTTAATGATAATTAATAATTACAACAATCAAATGATAAATAGAAAAAGGAAAATAATAAAATATTAAAAAAATATCACATTCAGTTACAACGTACACCAAGTGGTAAGTGATAGAATGGTTCAATTGGTTCCGTTTGTTCAAGTTCAATAGCTGTTAACAGTGCACGTGTAACAACAGCTTCAGAGGCTGGTTCAGGTGTATTCGGTGAACTTAATATATCAGCAAGTAGACGCCATACACGAAAATTAGTTGGATCCACATTCATAGCATCTCGTGCTACACGTTCTGCCAAAGTTGTTTGATTATTCGTGTGTAAAAGATTTGCCTGAAATAGTAAAATGACAAATGATTATTATTGTTATAAAGTCAAAAACTTATACACGACCAATATTGGGAATAAAACCAAGCGACGTTGAATGTATACACACATCAGCACTAGTCTTTGTAAGTGAATATCACTGTTTAAGCTCTTCAAATAATGTTAGGTACATTGTATGCTAGCTAATAGTTAAGACATGAAATTACTCAGCGAGAAGCGCGCATGGATTACTCGAAATGGTGATATGAAAGAGAAAACATGAACATGTTTCCACATTGCCTAGCTTGTTAATTACAAACACTGGAATTGAAATAATAACTTCTGGAGTGTCGGCAAAACATCTACACACCAAAGTACCAGCTCGAGAAACAATTTATTGAAACCATTCAAGTTTTTCATGAGTTTGTTTGTAGGGATTTGATTTATTTCAAGTATGACCACGGACTGATATTACTTAGAGATCCAGTTCTTCATGTTTTCTTCTTCCTCTAAGTAAGTGTCTTAAAATGTAATTGACTAATTTATAATACTAATATTATTTTGCCTTTACATACATTAATAGAGCACTTGAGAGGGATATATATATATATATATATAGAGTTCGGCCTACAGTCTACAAAAAACATTAGATCACTTAAAACGTAGAGTAAACGAAATGCATTGCGATAAATTCTGACCATAAAATAATTTTCGGCCAACTTTTGCCATTATTTGGTTCAACCTATTTTGTGATATCTATGGTTATGATTATTTTCTAGTTTTCTTTTAGTGCTACCGTACTTTAATACTACTTAAATAAGTTGCTGATATAAATTTTAACCTCAGTAGTGAGTTGTGGAAGTTTAAGTTTTACGGTGCATGTGATTTTTCACTGGAATTTCTGGTATACTTCGTAGATGAATCACTCATTAACTGATTATTGTGCAGTCAATATTCATGGGGATATAAAGCTTATTTAACCTACCCAAATGATATGACAATAGGAGTATAGTCTATGCAGCCTGGTACAGAAACTGTTAGGATGGACAAGCTCCTTTGTTAGCTGTGAAGTAGTGATTTATGGTATATACTGACGTGAAAGCTTTACTGGGAAGTTTTGATTCGTTAATTTATGACTTAATTTTCTGAGAGATTTCGATGTTATACAACCAACCAATCAAATTTGTTTTATTTACAGAAGACATTTTTAGTTGGTTATAGTGCCGTGTTTTGGAGGCGCATTCTAGTCAAGTTAGATGAAACCACAACTAGTATCACTTCGTCATTATATATATATATATATATATATATATATATATATATATATCAAAATTCACAATATTTCCATCTACATAACAAATTACAGATAAAAGAAGAATAAATGTATAAATACACTTACTAGAGAAAGTAATGCTTCTAAGTGATCAGGTTTTAGTGCAATTACACTTTCGTATAAAGATCGTGCAATGCATAGAAGTCCACGTTTTTCGGCTAAACGTCCACGCTTTAAAAATATTAACGCAAATGAAACAAAATAACAGGTTATATTTTCAAATTAGAATATACAATTATGAATTTCATCAGAAGAATTTTACGCTGATTTATTTGAAATGAATACAGTAGATTGGCTGGCAAACTTAGCAAACTGTCTATCAGAAATAAACATAATTGAAATTCCGCTCGACCAGCAAGATATTTTGGTAGTCCTAAGCCTTAACTTTGTCAACTACATCATCGCACCACGAAAATCGACTTTCATAATATTAATATTTTCCAGGACGATTTTAAATATGGGGGAAACGCCTAAGATAAAATGATATCAAGTATCTGAATAGAAATCCTGACTTATTACTAAGTAATGGAAGGATGCTCGGAGTTGAAACAAAACACTGATTCATAGCAGAACTTGGAAGTTGCCGGTTTTATTGCCAACGTAATTTATTTTCATATTTTACCTTCAATCATCATCCCGTTATATTAATATCTGTTATGCTATTTCCGTATCATGTAGTACAATATTTCAACATAATGTATAAAAATAATGAGTTGTAAACAAACATACCTACAAAGTATACGGAACAAAATAAAGGAAAATGAGATTTATGAGAAAATAGTATGGATTAATGTAAAAGTAATGAACCTACCAGATATAATGTTTGATTGTCGAGGCCACCAATTTTCATCACTTCATCTAAAGCCTCCTTCGCTTCAAACAATTGATCATTATCCAGATAGGATTGCGCTAAAAGTAAGAAGTGAAGTGTTTTACAGTGAAATTTAGATGTATTTTCTTTTCTTCAAGCTTAGTGAACTAAAGCTACCTTAATTCGTACTACTATTGATTCAATCAATTTAATTTGTCGTTTTTCAAAAGTTATGACATAAAAGCGAAAAATAAACTTGAAGTTAATGATGACACTGAATCAGTGGGGGAAAGCAGCACTATAATTTCACATAAAAACAAACGATACAAGGTGCTCAAGTTTAGTTTTTTTCACTTGATCTCACCAACTATCAAGTATGGTTGTATCACCAATCTAAAGTGAGTAAAATATATTCCCTCATACCATCCGAGATTCTTTCCACTTAGTTTTATTCAAAAAAGTGGTCTTTTGAGAGACGCAGCACTTAATCAAACCAATTCACACCATGAAGTTTAACAATGTTAATTTGTTACTTCTTTAACATAACCTTTTATACTGAACACTAGTGTATCTCATCTGATGATTCTACTATACACAGCAGAAGTGAATGCAGCGGTGGTAGTCTTTGTCAACAAAATGAGTTTGAAGGTAGATTTAGTCACAAATCAACAGGTTCTCAGTGACCCACTGATTTCCATGCCGTTCTAACTCATTTTAGACAATGTTCCGGTCGATGCCC